TATTCCAGCCTGAGCGTCTGTGTAACAGGGACGTAATAACATCAGGAATAGAAAAACAACTTCAGCCTTGGGGCTTAAAGCATTTCTTATTTCAAAATTACTCTGAAAAGAGGGATTTGGGCAAAAATCCTTGTGTGTGCACAGGGATGTGCTGTTTGGCCTCTGCCTTTTACTCCCCTCCCTCTTGGTTTGAAGAACAATATTTTGGATTTTGGGAGATTGCAGCCCCCTGCTGTGTAAATAAACAGCACCATTGCCTCATACCTAGGGGATCATGTCTGTCTGTCCATCTGCTGCATCCTGGGACCTCCACAAACAGGAGGGAAAAATGGCAGGGAACATGAGGGGAAAAGGGCAGGGAACATGAGGGGAAAAGATGGCAAAAACATGAGGGGAAAAGGGTGGGAAACAGGAGGGGAAAAGGGTGGGAAATATGAGGGGACAAAATGGCAGAGACGGGCTGGAACAAGGTGGTAGAAACACGAGGAGAAAAGATGGCGAGAACATGAGCGAAGGGAAGTTTGCTGATGCGATGATGAGGATGATGATGAAGGGAAGTTTGCCGGGATGTTGCTGATGTTGCTGTGCTGTTGGAATCGCAGGCACTCCGTGGCCATGGCCGGGAACAGCCTGGTGCTGCCCATCGTGCTGTGGGGCCGGCGCGCCCCCACGCACTGCGTCTCCTCCCTGCTGCTCGTGGATGGCTCCGTCATCGTCACCGGCTGCCACGACGGGCAGATCTGCCTCTGGGACCTGGCTCCTGACCTGCAGGTAGCCACATTCACACTGCCAGCCTCTCCTGCCTCTCCCAGTGCTGCTCTGCCCTTCCCTCAGCGCCAGGCCGGGGTACAAAGGGCTATTTTGCCTCTTGGATTCCTTGCTGCTCCTGTAAAAAGATTTTTTTGGAGCTGCTCTAAAGTTGCTTTCTGGTTGAGCTGTGTAATGCTGTGTTATGAGAAAGAATTCCTTCCCAATATCCCATGTGGCAGTGGGAAGCCATTGCCACTTTTCCTGGCGCTCCGTTCCCTGTCCCAAGCCCCTCTCCAGCTCTCTTGGAGTCGCTTCTGGCACTGGAAGGGGCTCTGAGGTCTCCCCTTATTTATGGATTTACAGGAACTCAACTCCGGGAAGCTCTTAATGTGCAGCACAATCTTTTTCATTCAACCAAACTCCATTTCAATTGAATTGAGCCAAATTCAGCCCTTGGTCCGTAAATACCGACAGGAGTTTGCAAAATGCGTTCTCCCCCCCAAAATTCTCATTCCCAAAGTGTCCCAAGATGATCCATGCGCTGCTGTGCTAATTAAATGTGTGTGCACGTATTAATGAGTATATAGCACCTGAAGGAGAAAGCTGGGATATGGATATTCGGTCATTTGTGGGATTTTTGATGCCCTGTTTTCTTTTCCCTGATCCCAGATCAATCCCAGAGCTCTGCTCTTTGGCCACACAGCCTCAGTTACTTGTTTGTCCAAGGCCTCAGCATCCAGTGAAAAGCAATATATAGTGAGTGCATCAGAGAGTGGGTGAGTTCCTAAATGTTTTTTACTGCAGAGCTGCAATAATGGGAATTTCTCCCCAGTTCATCCCTATGTTCAACGCTGTGGTTGATTTTTATTCTCAAGAAAAAAGCTCTTCAGCAAATACATTTTATTTTTTGATTTATTTATTACTCACGGAGCAGCGGTTTACAGGTAGAAGCAGGAATGATTTCCTGTGCAATTGATATCCAAATAGAGATTTTTTTTTTTATCCAGAAAAGGTGGGGAATGATTCCTTTTAGCAAGGAATTTGAGGAGAAAATATGTCAAAATTTAGAATTTCCACCATGGGCAGATTTCAGTGCTAAGTAATTCTTCCCATGGGATTTAAAACCAAAATGAGCTTTCACAGGGGAATTTATTTTTCTGATGGGAAGAGAAAGCACCTCCCAGATTCTGTTCTGATTCAATTAGAATATAAAGTTTTAAATGAAGAAGCACCGTGAGGGGGATAAAACAGGTAAAGAACAGGAGGTGCTGTGGATTTAGGGGGACTGGAAAGTCCGGTTAATTTGGAGTTTCCCTACAAACAAGGGCTAAAATCCCTAAGAAATGGTTCACAGGAAGTTGCTGGAGGTGGCAGGGTGTTGGGGAGGCTGGCCCGTTTTCCATGTGTTTTCCATGTGTTTTCCATGTGTTTTCCATGTGTTTTCCATGTGTTTTCCATGTGTTTTCCATGTGTTTCCCCCGTGTTTCCCCCGCGTTTCCCCGTGTTTTCCACATGTTTCCCGTGTTTTAGGGAGATGTGCCTGTGGGACGTGAACGACGGCAGGTGCATCGAGTTCACCAAGCTGGCCTGCGCTCACACGGGCATCCAGGTGAGGGATGGCAGGCTGGGAATGCCTCCTGCAGCCTTTGGCAAATCCACCCCAGCTCCAAAACGAGCCGGGAATCCTCAGAATTCCCAGGGAATCGCCGTTCTCCGTGGATCCTAACGTGTGCTTCCTCCGTCGGGGCAGTTCTATCAGTTCACAGTCGGCTCGCAGCGGGAAGGGAGGCTCCTGTGCCACGGACATTATCCTGAAATCCTGGTGGTGGATGCAACCAGCCTGGAAGTTCTTTATTCCTTGATATCCAAGATTTCTCCTGACTGGATCAGCTCCATGACCATCATCCGCTCCAACAGGACACAAGGTGATTATTGCATCCCACAGAGCCCTGTCCAGCCTGGCCTTGGGCAGGTCCAGGGGATCCAGGGGCAGCTTTTCTGGGAATCCTGCCCCAGCTGGATCACCTGGAAGTGTCACCTGAGCACAGAGCAGATTTCTGCTCACTGCTGGTAATTCCCTGCTGGCAGAGCAGCCTCTTGTTCGGGTGGTGTGCAGTTCCTGAGAGGTTTGGGGGACTCTGAGGAGAAAATCCCAACTAAAGCACTTCTCTCTTGAGTTGTAAACTGGGCATTCCCAAAATCCTGGGGTGGGAAAGCTCAGCTCTTACCCCACAACAGCTGGAACAACTGGAAATGAGCTCTGCTGCAAAGTGTTTCCTGCTAGTGCCCTCATTTATTCCTCCTTCCCCGAGCATCTCAGCAAACAAACATTCCATGGGGAAGCAAACCCTCCGGGAATGCCGGGATCGGGTTTGCATCCCCGCTCAGGTGAGGAGGTCCCTGTGGCTCAGGCTCATTTTTGTGTTTCCCAGAGGACACCGTGGTGGCCGTGTCCGTGACCGGCATCCTCAAGGTGTGGATCGTCACCTCGGAGCTCAGTCGGGCACAGGTAGGCAAAGGCCGCCAGATTGGTGACTCTTCCTGCTGGGATGCAGGATCCTGCTCCTGGTGTTCTGCTGCTGACAGCCCGTGGAAAATCTCTGCATTTCCCTTCACCGATGGGAGTGGCTGCCAGAATTCCTAATCCTTCTCAGAGAGCTGGTTTCTGAGTGAAGGGTGGGATTATGGCCCATTTGTCCAAATCACAAACCAGATTTGTCATTTTATTTGTGCCACCTAACCATTTGGGTTCATGTTTTGCTGAGCAGACATGAATGTTTTAGGAATATTCACGTTATCCTGTTATTTGGCATCTCCTGGGTACTAATGAATAAAAGGAGAATGTCTTAGAGGAGATGAGGTAAATCAGCTCCTCACAGAAACCTCTTGTAAGAGATGTTTATCATCTGAGGGGAAATCTCCTGCTGGTTAGGGATCTGCTTCACTGCAGCAGTGATCAGCAGCACTGATCCTGGAGGCTCCAGGGACACCAGCTGCTCCTGCAGATCCTCCTGGGATGAGGCACGGGCCCCCAGCCGCCGCAGGGCTCGGGCTCTGCGTGTGGCACCTCGCTGGGAGCGGGCAGGGCAGGCTGAGCGCCGTTTCTCTTTGTTTCAGGACACCAGCCCGGTGTTCGAGGAGGAATCCAAACCCATCTACTGCGAGAACTGCCAGAGCATTTCCTTCTGCTCCTTCACGCAGCGCTCGCTCCTGGTCGTGTGCTCCAAGTACTGGAGGGTAAGGCAGAGCCCCTGGCTCCTTTTCCCTCGGGAATCAGAGTTAAACCACACGGAAACATTGGGCTGTGAGTGCTCCCAGTCTCCTCTTGCTGTGTGTTTAAATATTTCTGGATGTTTCAGAGCCCCTGGCTCCTTTTCCCTCGGGAATCAGAGTTAAACCACACAGAAACATTGAGCTGTGAGTGCTCCCAGTCTCCTCTTGCTGTGTGTTTCAATATTTCTGGATATTTCAGAGCCCCTGGCTCCTTTTCCCTCGGGAATCAGAGTTAAACCACACAGAAACATTGGGCTGTGAGTGCTCCCAGTCTCCTCTGCTGTGTGTTTAAATATTTCTGGATATTTCACAGCCCCTGGCTCCTTTTCCCTCGGGAATCAGAGTTAAACCACACAGAAACATTGGGCTGTGAGTGCTCCCAGTCTCTCCTGTGTGCCTCTGCTGTGTGTTTAAATATTTCTGGATATTTCAGAGCCCCTGGCTCCTTTTCCCTCGGGAATCAGAGTTAAACCACACAGAAACATTGGGCTGTGAGTGCTCCCAGTCTCCTCTGCTGTGTGTTTCAATATTTCTGGATATTTCACAGCCCCTGACTCCTTCCCCCTCGGTTAAACCACACAGAAATATTGGGCTGTGCGTGCTCCCAGTCTCCTCTTGCTGTGTGTTTAAATATTTCTGGATATTTCACAGCCCCTGGCTCCTTTTCCCTCTCAGGAATCAGAGTTAAACCACACAGAAACATTGGGCTGTGAGTGCTCCCAGTCTCCTCTGCTGTGTGTTTAAATATTTCTGGATGTTTCAGAGCCCCTGACTCCTTTTCCCTCTCAGGAATCACAGTTAAACTCTCCTGTGTGCCTCTGCTGTGTGTTTAAATATTTCTGGATATTTCACAGCCCCTGGCTCCTTTTCCCTCGGGAATCAGAGTTAAACCACACAGAAACATTGAGCTGTGAGTGCTCCCAGTCTCTCCTGTGTGCCTCTGCTGTGTGTTTAAATATTTCTGGATATTTCAGAGCCCCTGGCTCCTTTTCCCTCTCAGGAATCACACTTAAACTCTCTGGTGTGCCTCTTGCTGTGTGTTTAAATATTTCTGGATATTTCACCCAAATCTCTGCCCCTGCTGAGGGATTGGAACAAAATGATCCTTAAGGTCTTTTCCAACCCAAAGCATTCCAGGGTTCTGTGGAACCCAAAATCTGCCTGGGCAGCGTGTGTGTGATGTGAGGCAGATTCCTCATTTGGTAATTGTAATTAATTTGAACACTTTGTTTCCTGGCAGGTTTTTGATGCTGGAGATTATTCGCTGTTGTGCTCGGTGCCCAGTGAAAATGGGCAGACCTGGACTGGTGGGGACTTTGTGGCAGCTGATAAAGTGATTGTGTGGACAGAGGATGGACAGAGTTTCATCTATAAATTACCAGCCAGGTACTCAACAAAAAAATACCCCATTTATTTAAGTTTTGATTCGTTGGAATTGAACTGAATTAATTGGAGAACTACCGAGATGTCGGTCCAGTAAGGGAAGACGTGTAAATACAAAACCATAAAATCAATTCAAAATTTGGCATCAAAGAGGTTGAAAATAACGGGAGTGAAACCAGTAAAAGTTTCTGACCTCTTCCTGGGTGGCCATGGTGTCTTACCTTGAGCATTCCCACCTAAACCATGGGAATTCCTTCCTCTCCCTGACGTGATCAGAGCACGGGGGTGACAACAACACCTCGAAATTCCAGGAGGATTTTGACTCCTTTCTCTGTTGTTCCACGCAGCTGCCTGCCAGCCAGCGATTCCTTCCGCAGGGATGTGGGGAAGGCCGTGGAGAGCCCCATCCCACCTTTGTTGTACAGCGTGTTGGACAGAGCGCAGAAGCAGGTTGGGCTCTCCCCCTGAGATTTCCCCGTGTGGCGTTCGGAGCCGGGCTCTGAGGCTGTCCTGTTCTCCCCACAGCTCCTGATCTGTCCTCCTGTGACTCGCTTCTTCCGTGGCCACACGCAGCTTGAATCCAGGCTCTTAATCCAGGGGGATTCCTCGGGGAGACTCTGCATCTGGAGCGTGCCCGACACCCCTGAGCAGCAGCAGGAGGGTGCAAAAGGTACCCCACCATTGCTTTTGCTGTTTAAACCCCGCTGCTTCTCCCCCAGCCTGGATTCTCTCCCCCTTGGAAAAGTCCTCATCAGCGTTGTTCTGGCAGGGATTCGTTTCCACTGCAGGACCCAGAGTTCAGCTGCTCCAAGGGAGGAATAGGATGGGTATTAAGGAAAAGTTTTTTACAGAAAGCTGTGGAACGTTCTGGTGCAGTCACCATCCCATGGGATGTGAGGGTTGGCTCCATGATCCCAGAGATCTCCAACCTGCTGATCCTGGGATCCCACAGCAGCTCGGGAGACACCTCAAACACCCCAAATACCCCATTCCAACTCCCAACACTCTTGTTTGAGGGGGTTTTTTGGTGGTTTTTGGTTTCCTCAGAGCTGAGCCCTTGGGATACTCCCTCACAGGGAGTTTCTCTCATCTCAGTCCTGTTTTAGGAAGGATACTCCTTCATTCCTTGTGTTTATTCATAAAGACTCAGCAAAACTTCCCCAGACTTTTTGTTCAAGTTCAACCCACTACAGCCTGCCTCACTTCAGCTCAAAAGGCACAAAATGGTCTCAAATTGCTCAGTTCTTTTGTCTTTATACTTGTTTTTACCTAATTAACAATAGGTAATTTTTTATCTTTATCCTTATTTTTACCTAATTAACAATAGTTAATCTTATATCTTTATACTTATTTTTACCTAATTAAGAATAGTTAATTTTTTACCTTTATACTTATTTTTACCTAATTAAGAATAGTTAATTTTTTACCTTTATACTTATTTTTACCTAATTAAGAATAGTTAATTTTTTACCTTTATACTTATTTTTACCTAATTAACAATAGTTAATTTTTTTATCTTTATACTATTTTTTACCTAATTAGCAACACACATGTAAATAGTTTTTCTTCATGACCCAATGACCTGTGTGCTGCACTGATTTATTCTCTATCCAATCACCTGCTGCTTCCTAAAAACCTCCAGGAGGGGATGAAGAGACAACACCTTAAATCTCCTCTCTTCCCCTTCTTCTCTTCCCCTTCTTCTCTTCCCCTTCTTCTCTTCCCCTTCTTCTCTTCCCCTTCTTCTCTTCCCCTTCTTCTCTTCCCCTTCTCCTCTTCCCCTTCCCTTTCCCTTTCCCCTTCCCCTTCCCCTCTTTAAATTTGAATTTTTTCACCCAGAAATCTTGAATTTCCACACTTTGAACTTTTCCAGCCAACTTTAACAGCTGTTTCCACGTAACACCACCAAAACCATCCCGTCAATGTCACGTTGTGTGAGATTGGGTGTTGTCCCTGATCCCAGGGACGCCGTTGGACTCCTCGCGTTGTCCCCCTGCTGCCATTCCCTCTCTTGTCCCTCAGGGCTGCTGGCAGCCACCTCGGTGTCCCTGCAGGAAGCGTTTGACCGGCTTTGCCCCCGTCCCGCGGGGATCATCGACCAGCTGAGCGCGGTTCCTCACGAGCCCCTGCGCGTCACCGCCAGCGTCTACATGCCGGCGCACGGGCGGCTGGCGTGCGGCCGCGAGGACGGCAGCATCGTCATCGTGCCCGCCACGCAGACCGCCATCGTGCAGCTGCTGCAGGGGGAGCACACCCTGCGCAGAGGTGGGTCACAACCTCGGCTGCTCCTCCGGGGAAGCTGCAGGGTTCTGGGGAGCAGCCTGGAACGGGCTCCCCATGCTGAAACCGTTTATGCAGCACGGGGACAACCCAGATCCAGAACAGAGAGACCCAAACAGGCACAGCAGGGGTTTTTGAGGGACAGAACCCCCGAGGGTTTCCAAGGCCTTAAAATCGTAGAAAATTGGGGGACTTAGAAGGAAAGTTAGGTTTGGAAAGCCGTGGGAAAAGCAGGCCCTGGGAATGTTAGGCCTTGTGCTTGCTGAAGACCAGGTCAAACTGCACCTGTGTGGTCAGTACATGGTCAGTATATGATAAATGTGTGATCAGTATATGATAAATGATACAATTGTTAGATGTGAGTAGATAGAATTATTGTTTAGAGAACATGAGGAACAATGTTAGGGGGGATCACGAGAAATCCATGCCTGGGTAAAAACAATGCTTACAATAGAACAGTGTAAGTTTAATAATTAATATGGAAGTTGTATAACGATAGAGTATAAAACATGTTCAACTCAAACCCAAATCGGGTCAGATTTGGGTCTGTGTACCCCTGACACCCAGAGCTCTTTAAATAAAGCACCTGCATATAACCATTGGTGGTTATGTGTGATCCTGAACACTGACACTCTGAGGGTGGAGTTCAGGCTCAGGGAGCACCAGCAACACACCAAGGGAGAACCCCAGGGACACAACCCCAGTCAGAGCCCCACCCTTCACAAGGGGTTTGGGGTGGAACAGTGTTAATTCTGTCTCCCTTGCTGCCACAGAGGTGTGTGGGGAGAGCCCGTCCAGCCCAGCCAGCACGCCCTGCTTCTGCTGAATTCCCATTTCTGCTCTCTTTTCGGGCAGGCTGGCCCCCTCACAGGACGCTGCGAGGCCACCGGAACAAGGTCACCTGTTTGCTGTACCCTCACCAGGTGTCCTCCCGCTACGACCAGAGGTTCCTGATCTCGGGCGGCGTGGATTTCTCCGTCATCGTCTGGGATATCTTCTCCGGAGAGATGAAACACATCTTCTGTGTGCACGGAGGGGAAATCACCCAGCTGCTGGTCCCACCAGAAAACTGCAGTGTGAGTTCTCCGGGATAACATTTCCTGCACCAGGGGAGGTGTTGGGGAGCTGCCAACCCTCCCAGCTCCTGCAACAGCTGCACAAAAACACCTGGATTATCCTGCTAGTCGTGCTTTCCACCATCGTGTTTTATTTACAGAAAGGATTGAAAATAGGGGCTTCATTAAACCCCTTAAAAATAATCTTTAGGGACAATTTCACCTCTTGAAACTTAGCTGAAGAAAGAGAATTTAACAAGCAAAGTTGATTGTTTTGCTAAGCAAAGCCTGCAGTTTTCAAGGTTTAACACCCATTTTCCGTGAGGTTGTGAAAAAAGAGGTTCACGTGATTTTTAGAGAATTTAAAAGTTTAATAAAAAAACAATGAGGAGAAAAAAATAAAGTATACAGATAGGGCTGGGTGTCTCTGCATTCACCTCACTGACAAAGGATTGTCCCTTAAAAACAGAACCCTACTACATATCCATAAATTCTTATATATATATATCCATAAATTCTTATATATATATCCATAAATTCTTGTATATATATCCATAAATTCTCATACCTAGCCATAAATTCTCTTACATATTCATAAATTCTCATACATATTCATAAATTCTCATTCATACATTCTCCTTAGGATTTTTGGTGTTCTTGTCTTTAGTTTTCTCTTGCCCCCTTCCCAATAGATCAGTGCTCTTGGTTCCATCATGATTTACATTCCCTGATACCAGAAATGCAATAAATTCCTCCCCCCCAGAGTTCTGGCCACTGCTGGCTTCATCTGGATAAGAGAGTTTACAAAAGAAAAAAAGTCTCCAGCTATTTTTAATTTTATTATTATATCTTTTTCAATCTTTGGGTTACACAAACAAAAGCAGGTTTTGTTTTAATGCTGTGTCATAGCTTAACACACATTTATTATACCACTATTCCTAAGTTTTATTAATAACGGAAATAAAGAATATATTATTACAGATAAATTTACTGATCTTATATACATAATATTCATTCTAATAAAGAAGACTATATTATTACAGCTAAATTTTCTGATCTTATATACATAATATTCATTCTAATAAAGAAGTCTATATTATTACAGCTAAATTTTAATATTCATTATAATACTTGTGAAAAGCCAATAATACGATGAGCATTTCTAACAAGGTGCAAAGGGAATTCTGTTGCCGGCCAGCTCAGTGAGTTTGCCCATTGATGCCTTGGCCCAGAGGGGAATTAATTGAATCCCAATTGAACAATCCCAGGTTCCAATGAAGTTTGTCCTCGTTTTGCAGGCGAGGGTGCAGCACTGCGTGTGCTCGGTGGCCAGCGATCACTCGGTGGGGCTGCTGAGCCTGAGGGAGAAGAAATGCATCATGCTGGCCTCGCGCCACCTCTTCCCCATCCAGGTGATCAAGTGGAGGCCGTCCGACGATTACCTGGTGGTGGGGTGTTCCGACGGCTCCGTCTACGTCTGGCAGATGGACACGGGTGAGTCCGGCCGCTCCGGGGGTGGCAACGGCGCGGGGCTGCGGCTGGGCTGGGGCACAGCTGGTTCTGGAACCTTCCTGCCTGGGGCTGGCAGCTCTGGCTGTTCAGTGTGGGAGCACACTGAGGGGAAATCACAGAGGTTCAGGTGTAACTCCATCCTTTTCCACATTCCTGCCTGGAGCTCCTCACTCCAGGTGTTGAGCACAGGATCACACCGAGGGAAATTCGGAGGTTCAGGTGTAATTCCATCCTTTTCCACATGAGCTCCTCACTCCAGGTGTTCAGGAGAGAAGCACACCCAGGGAAGCTCCCAGAGGTTCAGGTGTAGCTCCATCCTTTGGGAACCCCTCCTCACCCCGTTAATGCTCGTTCCCGTTCCCGGTGTGTTCTGAGCCGTTCCCATCCCTCCCGCGGCCACAGGGGCTCTGGATCGCTGCGTGATGGGAATCACAGCCGTGGAGATCCTGAGCGCCTGTGACGAGGCCGTGCCCGCCGCGCTGGACGCGCTCAGTCACCCCGCCGTCAACCTGAAGCAGGCCATGACGCGCCGCAGCCTGGCCGCCCTCAAGAACGTGGCCCACCAGAAGCTGCAGACCCTGGCCACCAACCTGCTGGCCTCGGAGGCCTCCGACAAGGTGGGTGACGGTGCCCAGGGTGTTGTGTGTCACTGTCACAGCTCCAGCAGCACGGCTGTGCTCAGGGATCCTGTGTGTCACTGTCACAGCTCCAGCAGCACGGCTGTGCTCAGGGCAGCACGGCTGTGCTCAGGGATCCTGTGTGTCACTGTCACAGCTCCAGCAGCACGGCTGTGCTCAGGGTGTTGTGTGTCACTGTCACAGCTCCAGCAGCACGGCTGTGCCCAGGGCTGTTGTGCCCATCCTGGGGAATTGGGAATGTTGTGTTTGTCGCTGTTCCCTGGGTGTTTCCTGTCCTGGTGAAGGGGTCAGGGAGAACAACGCTCCCAGAGCTGATTTTTCCTTTGGAACACGGCTCCAGTCTGGGATCAGAAGATGTGAGCTCGTGGCTCACCCACAGAGCTCAGTTTCCTGTGAACACCTGTAAATTGAGTTTCTGTGTTTCATGGGCACAGCTTCCCCGATTGAAATTCCGATCCACTCTCTGTTTTCCAGGGGAATTTACCCAAATACTCCCACAACTCCCTGATGGTTCAGGCCATCAAGACAAACCTGACAGACCCCGACATCCACGTGCTGTTTTTCGACGTGGAGGCTCTGATTATCCAGCTGCTGACGGAGGAGGCGTCGCGGCCCAGCGCCGCGCTGCTCGCCCCCGAGAGCCTGCAGAAATCCTCGGGCGGCTCCGACAAGGGCGGCTCCTTCCTCGCCGGCAAGAGAGCGGCCGTGCTCTTCCAGCAGGTGAAGGAAACCATCAAGGAGAACATCAAGGAGCACCTCCTGGACGATGAGGACGAGGATGAAGAGGCCACGAGGCAGAGGAGAGAGGACGGCGATCCGGAATATCGCTCCAGCAAATCCAAGCCGCTGACTTTGCTGGAGTATAACCTGACCATGGACACGGCCAAGCTCTTCATGTCCTGCCTGCACGCCTGGGGCCTCAACTCCGTGCTGGACGAGCTGTGCCTGGATCGCCTGGGCATGCTGAAGCCGCACTGCTCCGTGTCCTTCGGCCTCCTGTCGCGGGGAGGCCACATGTCCCTGATGCTGCCCGGCTACAACCAGCCTGCAGGCGGGGTGACGGAGGGCTTGGGAAGGGGCACGTACGGAGTGTCGCGGGCCGTCACCACGCAGCACCTGCTGTCCGTCATCTCGCTGGCCAACACGCTGATGAGCATGACCAACGCCACCTTCATCGGGGAGCACATGAAGAAAGGCCCTGCCAGGTACCCAGCGGGCTCCGTGTGCTGCTCTGGCCTTGGGCTCCCTGAGCTGGGGTGCTGGGGTCCCTGAGCTGCTCTGGCCTTGGGTTCCATGAGCTGCTCTGGCCTTGGGTTCCCTGAGCTGCTCTGGCCTTGGGTTCCATGAGCTGGGGCTCTGGGTTCCCTGAGCTGCTCTGGCCTTGGGTTCCCTGAGCTGCTCTGGCCTTGGGTTCCCTGAGCTGCTCTGGCCTTGGGTTCCCTGAGCTGGGGTGCTGGGGCTCCCCAAGCTGCTCCAGCCTCAGGCTCCCCAAGCTGCTCCAGCCCGGGCTCCCCAAGCCACTCTGGCCTCGGGCTCCCTGCACCACTCCGTCCCCAGGCTCCCCTCCCCTCTCCAGCCCCGGGCTCTCTGTCCTGCTCCAGCCTCAGGCTCCCCTCGCCGGGGCTCTGGAGCTCACCTCTGTCCCTCCCCTCGGCTGTCTCGTGTTTAGGCCGCCCAGGCCGGGCACCCCCGAGATGGGCAAGGGGAAGCCTCCGACCGCCGGCCACGCTGCGCAAGGACAGATCAAACAAGGTAAGGAAAAACTTCCTTCAGGGCAGATCAAACAAGGTAATGAAACCCTCCTTAAGGGCAGATCAAGCAAGGTGACAGAACCCTCCTTAAGGGCAGATCAAACAAGGTGACAGAACCCTCCTTTGCAGGGCATGCAGCTGCTGGCCCGGGAGTTATGGGGACATCACTGGGGGTAGGACTTGTTTAGGAACCGGTGACATCCTTCCCTGCCCGGGAGCTCTGGGCTGTCTCAAGTGCCCCCAGACACTGTGGCTTGGAGGAGGGGTGTGAAGCTCTGCAGACTCATCCCAAAGTATTCCCATGGGAACCATGATCCAGGATCAGGATCACTCCTGGGCTGTTCCCATGGGAACCAGGATCCCAGCTCGGGATGGGGATCAGGATCGGGATCGCTCCTGGGCTGTTCCCATGGGAACCACGATCCCAGCTCGGATGGGGATCACTCCTGGGCTGTTCCCATGGGAACCACGATCCCAGCTCGGGATGGGGATCACTCCTGGGCTGTTCCCATGGGAACCACGATCCCAGTTCAGGATGGGGATCACTCCTGGGCTGTTCCCATGGGAACCACGATCCCAGCTCGGTGCCGGGATCGCTCCCGATGGAGGAGCAGCTCCAGCAGAACCCAACACAAACTCAGCACTGAGAATTTCCTTTCACTCCTCAGCTGTAATTTCTCCTTTCCCAACCCGTTTTTGGGTGCTCCTTGTCCCGGCGGGGCGGGAAGGGATTTATTCCAGCTGCTGGATTCGGTTCCAGCCCGAGCTGCTGGGCTCCCCCTGAGCTTTTCTGGCATTTCTGGGGTAAAAACTTGCATTTTTTACCTATTGGCAATTTAAAACGAGGTGAAATTCCAGTGGATATCCGGGAGTGACAGTGGGGCAGCTCAGGCTGGTGCAGGTGAATTTCCTGGGGGGCTCAGGTGAATTTCCTGGGACAGCTCAGGCTGGTTAAGGTGAATATTATTTTCAAGTTGAATATTAATTTTAAGCTGAATATTAATTTTGAGTTGAATGTTAATTTTGAATTGAATATTAAATTTGAAGCTGAATATTATTTGGAGTTGAATATTATTTTCAAGCTGAATATTATTTTTAAGCTGAATTTTGAGTTGAATATTAATTTTGAGCTGGATATTAATTTTGTGCTGAATATTAATTTTGAGTTGAATATTATTTTTTGAGCTGAATATTAATTTTGAGTTGAATATTAATTTTTGAGCTGAATATTACTTTGAACATTACTTTGAACATTATTTTCAAACACTTTAACACCATCACAGCTCCTCTTATTTTCCATTCTCCAATTCAATTCCAGCTGCTGCTCTCCTCACTCTGCTCTCTTTTATTTCCTCATCTTTTTGAATATTAATTTTGAGCTGAATATTAATTTTGAGCTGAATATTAATTTTGAGCTGAATATTATTTCAAAGCTGATTAATTTTGAATTGAATATTATTTTTTAAGCTGAATATTAATTTTGAGCTGAATATTAATTTTGACTTGAATATTCTTTTAAAGCTGAATATTATTTTGAGTTGAACATTAATTTTTAAGCTGAATATTATTTTTAAGTTGAATTTTGAGCTGAATATTAATTTAGGGCTGAATATTAATTTTCCTGCTGCTCTCCTGACTTTTCTCTCTTTTATTTCCTTTCTTTCTGAATATTAATTTTGAATATTAATTTTCCTGACTTTTCTCTCTTTCATTTCCTTTCCTTTCTGAATATTAATTTTGAATATTAATTTTTCTGACTTTTCTCTTTTATTTCCTTTCTGAATATTAATTTTGAATATTAATTTTCCTGCTGCTCTCCTGACTTTTCTCTCCTTGATTTCCTTTCCTTTCCCGCTGAAGCCGCTGCTCCCGGCGCGGATTCCGGCCCCGCCGACAGCTCCGCTTTCCATCCCTGTTTCTTGGTCAACGAAGGTATTCCCTCCTTTCTTCCTCTTCCTCCTCTTCCTCCTCACCTCACCTCTCATCCCGGCTTCATTTGCACTTTATTCATTTCAAACGCGTTTATTTGCATATTTGCATATTTTAATTCTCAGTTGGTGTGAATTTCGTAAATGTTTGATAGGAAACAGCCACTGAGTTATTCCAGCTGTGCTGCTGGAACAGCTGGATGGGCTGGGGCAGGTGGGCACAGGGGGATGGACCAGGGGGTTTGGGATTTTTGGGGGATTTTTTGGAATTTTTGGGGATTTTGGGGGATTTTTTAGGATTTTTTGGGGAGATTTTTGGGGATTTTTTGGGGATTTTTGGGATGGGTGTGAGTTATTCCAGCTGTGCTGCTGGAACAGCTGGATGGGCTGGGGCAGGTGGGCACAGGGGGATGGACCAGGGGGTTTGGGATTACTGGGAATTTTTTTGGTTTTGGGGGGGATTTTTTGGGATTTTTTTTTTTTTTATTTTTTGGGGGATTTTTTCGGGATTTTTTAGGATCTTGGGGGGATTTTTTAGGATTTTTGGGGGTTTTTGCAGGGATTTTTTGGGGGAACTTTTGGGGGGATTTTTGGGATGGATGTTTGGGATTTTTGGGATTTTAGGGATGGATTTTTGGGATGTTTGGGATTTTTGGGATGAGTTTTCCATGTTTTCCAGGCTGGAGCCAGCTGGCTGCCATGCACTGTGTGATGCTCCCAGAGATCCGGGATTTAGGGGATTTTTGGGATGGATGTTTGGGATTTCAGGGATGGATTTTGGGGACGTTTGGGATTTCAGGGATGGATTTTTGGGATGAGTTTTCCATGTTTTCCAGGCTGGAGCCAGCTGGCTGCCATGCACTGTGTGATGCTCCCGGAGCTGCTGGGGCTGGAGCGGTTCCGGCCGCCGCTGCTGGAGATGCTGGCCCGGCGCTGGCAGGATCGCTGCCTGGAGGTGAGCTGGGAATTCTCTTCCCAAAGGTTTTATTTGGGAATGTTCCCTCTGGAATGGCAGGATCGCTGCCTGGAGGTTTAGTTGAGATGTTTCCCAGGGTTCCCAGTTAATTTGGGATGTTTCCCAGTGTTCCCAGTTCATATGGGAATGTTTCCCAGTTTAGTTGGGAATATTTCCCAGTCAGATCCCAGTTTATTTGGATTATTTTCCAGTGGTTCCCAGTTTGTTTGGGATGTTTCCCAGCCATTCCCAGTTTATGTGGGATGTTTCCTAGTGTTCCCAGTTTATTTGGGATGTTTCCCAGTGTTCCCAGTTTGTTGGGAATGTTTCCCAACCAGGTCCCAGTTCCCCAGGGATGGATCCCAGTGCTCCCAGTTCCCCAGGGATGGATCCCAGTGCTCCCAGTTTACCCAGTTTGCGTTGTGCAGGTGCGGGAGGCGGCGCAGGCGCTGCTGCTGGCCGAGCTGCGCAGGATGGAGCAGGCCGGCCGGAAGGAAACCATCGACACCTGGGCTCCGTACCTGCCCCAGTACATGGACAGCCTCATCTCCCGTAAGGATCCGCCGGGAAACGCCCCGGGAATCGGGAATTCCCGAAAATTCCCACTCTGGCTGTTCCTGCTCACACCAATTCCCACTCTGGCTGTTCCAGGGGACACCAATTCCCACTCTGGCTGTTCCTGCTCACACCAATTCCCAGTCTGGCTGTTCCTGCTCACACCAATTCCCACTCTGGCTGTTCCAGCTCACACCAATTCCCACTCTGGCTGTTCCTGCACACACCAATTCCCACTCTGGCTGTTCCAGGCTCAGCCTGTGCAGTTGAGGCTCGGGGAGCCGGGGTCAGGGAGCCATTCCGGGTGTCTGATCCGTGTTTCTGGTGTTTCCCAGCTGGAGTGACCACGGAATCCCTGCAGGCTCCGTCCGGCAGTGCGGATCCGTCGGGAGCCGAGGCCAAGGCGCAGGAGGAGGAGCCGGAGCTGGCTGACGATGACATGGCAGCAGGTGAGTGATGCTGTCATTCCTGGGCCTGGGATAACATTCCCATCGTTCCTGTGCCTGGGATGGCATTCCCATCATTCCCTGCATTCCCATCATTCCCATCCCTGGGATAACATTCCCACCTTTCCTGTGCCTGGAATAGCATTCCCATCATTCCCAGCATTCCCAGCATTCCCATCATTCCTGTGCCTGGAATAGCATTCCCATCATTCCCATCATTCCCACCTTTCCTGTGCTTGGGATAACACTCCCATTCATATTACCACCATTCCCAGCATCCCTGGGATAACATTCCCATTCATATTCCCACCATTCCCATTCATATTCCCACCATTCCCAGCATCCCAGCTGGAACAGGGAGAGAGCAGGGCTCACCTGGAGGTTTTTAGGGGTAACCACAATCGTTTCCATACCTGGAAAAATCCCAGTTAACGTTCTTTACTCAGGAATCCCGGGCAGGACACCCTCAGGGTTGGTAACACCCCCTCTCCTGTGGATTTCCCCTGGAGTTTGTGACAGGGTTGGGAATTCCAGCTCTCAGGCTGTTCACACCCCCTCTCCTGTGGATTTCCCCTGGAGTTTGTGACAGGGTTGGGAATTCCAGGACTCAGGCTGTTCACACCCCCTCTCCTGTGTCACTCCCAGGCTGCCTGGCGGGGCTGGCCCAGCCCAAGAAGGCGTCGACGTCGTACGAGGAGCGGCGCAAGCAGGCGACGGCCATCGTCCTGCTCGGCGTCATCGGGGCCGAGTTCGGCGCCGAGATCCAACCCCCGAAGCTGCCGACGCGGCCCCGCAGCTCCGGCCAGGCCCCCGAGGGCTTCGGCCTCACCAGCGCCGGCTCCAACTACTCCCTGGCCAGACACACCTGTGAGTACCCCAGGAACAGCCGGTGTCACACTGACATCCTGCGGGTGTTCCCTGGCCAGACACACCTGGGAGTACCCCAGGAACAGCCGGTGTCACACTGACATCCTGCGGGTGTTCCCTGGCCAGACACACCTGGGAGTACCCCAGGAACAGCCCAAGAGGAGCTGGTGTCAGTCAGAAATCCCGGAGTGTTCCTGGGCACATCCAGAAATCCCTGAAATCCCTGAAATCCTGGAGAGTTCCTGGGGCACATCCAGCTCCCAGAAATCCCTGAAATCCTAGAGTGTTCCTGGGCACATCCAGAAATGGCAGAGGTGGCAGGAATCCCGGGATTCCCGTGGGATTCCCAGCCCTGAGGCTCGGCTCGCTGTTGCAGGCAAGGCGCTGACATTCCTGCTGCTGCAGCCGGGCAGCGCGCGGCTCCCGGCGCACAGCACCGTGCGCAGAACCGCCATCGACCTCATCGGCCGCGGCTTCACCGTCTGGGAGCCCTTCATGGACGTGTCGGCCGTGCTGATGGGGCTGCTGGAGCTCTGCGCCGACGCCGACAAACAGCTCGCCAAGTGTGTGATTCCCATGGGATAACGGGATCTGTGGGGTAACGGGATCCATGGGATAACGGGATCCATGGGATCCATGGGATCCATGGGGTAATGGGATCCATGGGATAATGGGATCCGTGAGATAACGGGATCCATGGGATCCATGGGGTAATGGGATAATGGGATCCGTGGGATAACGGGATCCATGGGATCCATGGGATAATGGGATCCGTGGGATAACGGGATCCATGGGATCCATGGGGTAATGGGATAATGGGAGCCCTTCATGGACGTGT